AACAAATTACACGATAAATGTCACAAAAGCACAAATATTAACGAAATCTTGAGAATTAAACTTAATCATGACTTCAAACACATTATGAGGAATGTCAACTCATAAAGATGATCATTTGCACAAATTAAACCAGGATTGAAAATCTAAGATCCAAACTTCCTTTATCTAAAGATTCCGAATTGAGTCAAGGTAAATTAAGAGTCAATCCCATCAAAAATTCAAATATTCTTCGATGGAATGACGCTCTCCGACCAAAATAATATCAGAATCTCACTTCACTCTCTTTCTTCTTATAACACAGTTTTGACTCCTAAACATACCAAAAACCTGAAAACCTATGCCCAAATTTAGTCAGAAAACTTGACCGTTGACCTTAAAAAATAATTTCTATTTTTGAGGTTAACAAATAAATAATATTATCAAATATTTTCCTAAGACATTCATTATAATTATTTTAAATTAAAAAAAATAAAATCAATTAAATCTTAGAATTCGTAAAACTACAAATTAAAAACATAATCAATATAGTTGAAAAATATTAAAACAAATTTAATCAATTCGATTTTTCAATTTCTCCATATTCATACAATAACGAATAAATTTAAATTTTTATAACTTGAAATGGAAAATGCTTTATTATTGAAATATTAATAAGTCTATGACAGAAAAGGACTAATTTAATTTATAATGGATAAGTGAAAGGCTAAGACCATCCTCAATTCATTTTATCAAAATAGGCAATTTTCAGTAGTTATTTTTTTATCACTTGATTACAATAGATCATAAATATTAATAAAAATAACAATCAAGTTTACATAATATAAATTAAATTAAATTATTTATGTAATAAAATGATATAAAGAGAAATAAAAATTTGTATAATATAAAATAAATGACAAATTGAGAAATAATTAGAACTGTATATATTACACAACAGTGCGACTGTTAAATACATTAATTTGGTGTTAAAATTTGAAGTCCGATTGAAGCATCATTTTCGCATTGTCATTTTGAAGTTGGGTTGAAAATGCCGTAAACCTAAAAGCAGAATCTCAAAAGCTACTATTTTGCTGCTTCTCAAAAATTGTCGCTAGATAATACACATTTTTTTATAAGCCCCCGTTTGTTTCTCATTTTTCATCCACAAAAATGAAAAATATGATCGTTATTCATCACATCTAGCTATCAATTTTGAATTTCTATCTCTTGTGTGGGGCTCAAGAACGACTATATTTTTCATTCTCATTCAATAATAATGAGAATCAAACGATTTTTTGATCTGAAAATATATTAAAAATTGTCAAAGCCAAATTGTTTCTCGTAATATTTGAATTCCTATCTACAAATTCGTTCAGAAAAATATAAGAATTAAATTAGTTGTACACACTTAACGTACGTTAAGTTTGACACTCAAAACTTGTATCATTTGATTGTTTAAAGTATTATTAAAATCAACATATGAAAAATTGTCACCGAATGATAACCTTAAGAAAAATGCTATGTGTACACCTCATGGCGTACATACGACTTTACATGGACCCCTCCATATGAGGGGGTGTAAAGCCGTGTGTACACGAACTCTTTGAAAATGTCAAATGAATAGTGAATACACAATAAACCTAACCCATTCCTTGCCCACTTTGAAATTTACGAAAATCAAAAAATACCTTCTCTATCTGCTCATCTACAAACTCATCAATTTTTTACTTACATAAGAAAAACTTGGGACAAATTGAACAAAAAACTAGATAATTTGATCGGTGATAGAGAAGGATGAACTCGCTACCGCCTGCGGGAGGAAACCAACCACCCCCGTCGTCATCATCGTCAAAGACGGCAGAATTGGATGCTCCGCTGCACGCAATCGGCTTCGAAATTGACGACCTTTCACCTCATAAAGTCACCGGCCACCTTGTAGTCACCCCAAATTGCTGTCAGGTAGTAATCACTCTCATCTCTGAATTCTGATCTTAGTATTTGGGCCTAATTTTATATGTGGGGCAGCCGTTCAAGGTGTTACACGGAGGGGTTTCCGCACTGATAGCGGAGGCATTGGCAAGCATAGGAGCCCATCTCGCATCCGGCCTCCGGCGAGTGGCAGGAATACACCTCAGCATCAGCCATCTCAAGAGTGCTCAATCCGGTGACCTTGTTCTTGCCGAAGCCACCCCTATCAATGTTGGCAAAACCATTCAGGTCTAATCTATAAGTCAGCAGATAATGTTTTTTTTATTTTATTTTATTTTTACACTATATTGCTTGCTAGCAGTGCAGAAATATATGAATAAATATTATATTGACTTTTTTAAATTATAATTTGTAAACTTTTACTATTCCTCCCATCCCATAAAGGTAATCGTGTTTTCTTTTTTTTGTCTATCTCAAATTATAGTCATGGTATATTAGGAAAAATGATAGTAAATTTATTTTTTCAATTATATTAATTAAATTTTCTTAATTTGTGTGAAAAAGGAAATATGACTATCTTTATGGGAAGGAAGGAGCGTAACTTATGATCGAATTCGTAGTGTGAGAATGTCCGGCAAGATCGTCCTAATAGATTTTCCATTTGGTTTTGACTATTAAGCTTTGTTGTTTGATCGAGATAATTTAAGTCGTGCTCTAATTGAGACTTTTGCCTAAAATTGTATGACCTCCAATAGAATTAACATGTCCAAAGTGTATGTGCACGAAAGACTAGACTGATGTGCAACAATACTGGTATTAAATAACATTATTCATTTAAAATAATTTGAAGGAAAACCATAATTTTAATCACAAACGGCAGGTGTGCCAACTAGCACGGGTAGGTGTAACTTGGTAGATGAAAACTCTAACCAGTAACCACTTGTTTGGTAAAGTCTACTATGAGTTTATTAACTAGGAAAATTAAATAAAAACATTTGTCAACCCTTCTTGTCAAAGATGTCGTTAAAGTTTGTAGTGATAAACATGTTCGAATAGTTCGCTATTCTGGGTTCTTGAGATACCATTGTCTTCGATGAGCTAAGAGCTCAAATGTCTCACTCTCAACTGTAGATCATCACAACTGTTATTCACGGCCGCAATCTGCAATCAGTAGTGCTTAAATGTATATTCATGTCTACATTGGCTATACAATTGAAGGTGCATTTAATCAATTCAATACTAAATAAGTATAGTCTTGTGGCAGGTTTGGGAGGTGAGCCTTTGGAAGTGCGATTCTTTGAAGTCTGAGAACAAAACATTGATATCATCATCAAGAGTGACTCTTCTTTGTAACATGCCTGTGCCAGAAGTTGCTAAAGATGCTGCTGAAAATCTCAAAAAATATGCAAGATTATGAGTTCAATTCAATGTAATGCATTTCTGCAACTGTTATAATTTATCTCAAATTCGTAAAGTATACACGTACAATCAAATGAAGCATCTTCTTGTTGTACAAGTCTGCATATTGCCCCAGAAGAAAACACAGATGGTTACCAATTAAGGACACTCGAATAGATGGTTTTTGTTCATCCTCCTACGACAACAATTGACTTGCGAAACTCGCATAGATATGAAATTCAAGATTCATGAATAAAGCTTGGCACAATTGAGCACCCCAAGAGGGCACGTATAAATTTGGTTTTTCTCGCTTAGCAGGCTTAAAACAATAATTGCCATAATCTTTCAAATTTGATTGTTTCCATTCAATGTGACCTAAAGCATTTCTTGATTGGTTGACACCCTTGAGAGCAGTGAAAGTATGAACCGAAGCAAATGATTGTTCTAGAATGGCTATTCCACAGCAATATGGCACGAAAGATTTTAACTAAGATGAGGATGTAGACCTGCCCAACATTATTGGCAATCCGGTACAATGTAATGTTGAGTGTCCAGTTCAGTACTCTTATTACTTTGAAGGCTAAAACTGAAATCAATAAAATCAAATTTTAAACGATGGACAAGATAATCTACTGTCATATAAGAAGTTCGATGTCTCACCACATTTGGATTCACGAATGGCCTAAAAGTAGAGATTAAATGTGAGGTTACATTACATTCCCTGAATTGTAAGTGATGCATACCATAGGCCTTACAAGTTACAGCTTTATAAATACCTTCATTCTTACTCTATGAGACATGTACCTAGCCCAACTGTTGGTGCTTGACAAATCTAGTCAAAGTTCCTTCGGTATGTCCAGTAATGGATCTCATTCCACTCTTCTTGGATCAGCTGATGGATCAAACCTTCAAGAAGATATTAACTCAAGTAGATGTAATCGTCGTCGTCTTCTAGCTCACTTCCATCTGCTTCCCAAATCCTATCGTTGTTGTCATGCTAGAAGCAATACAGTTTAGTGTCCACAGTGCATTCTTGCACCAATATCTCGTTTCACTCAAGTTAGGACCTCTACTGTGATGGCTTACCTATTGATATCACTCATATTCTATTAGGGGCATCTAAAGAAGGAATCGTGATTTTGTTTTAGTAATTCCATGTTCCAAAGCTACTGATGCTTCTTGTGTGGCTAAATTGTATTTCAAGAAAATTTTCCATTTGCACAATTTGCTTCCTACCATTGTATCTGCTATGCCTGTTAGTACTTTCAGAAGCATTATAGAAATTGTTTAGAATCACTTAAAAATATTAATCTGCTTTCTACACTGAAATTAGCCCCCTTTTGAGCCCCATTAAATTAAATTCTATTACATTAATTTTTTCTCAATCTTCATTTCAACCAAACATTCATCAAATAAAATAATATTATACACAAATCTAAAACTTTTCGACCACGCATTCTCCCATCAATCACTATTCTAAAAATTTTCAACCCCCAAAAATGGGGGCCAAACAGAGGCTTAATGGTCAATCAAAGGTTGTTGACATAGAAAGCAACAAACAAAAACTAGGATTACAGAAGAAGGGGAAAGAGGAAGAAGCAGAGATTTGGAGAAAAGTGTTTGTATTCAATCTTCCAAGTTCCCTATTACAATGCATAAGCTCATTTTATGTAGTGTTTAAACTAATCTAATTTAAGTAAGACATGACAAATAAAAAACTAAAAAATCTATAAAATAAACCCTAATTACTTTTCCTAAATTAAGAATCTAAACTTGGAAAGCCTCATATATTCATCAGTTGTTATATGGAGTATTGTACTCTTAGTTGCTTTTTTCCTTCTCTGGTCATTGCTCTCTATAATATAAACATATTGAAGCCGATCAAATTTGACCATTCCTAAGGGAAACATTGAAGCAGAAAAAGAAGCCTGATAACTGGGACCTTGTATATCTGCATAGACAAATGATGGCACTGTAGATGACTTAGAGGTCATTATGTCATTAATTCATTGTTCGATGGATAGATCATCCTTCTATAGATGATACTTGGATACCACAAGTGTCTTAACCAGTGGAGCAACATTTGCAGCATATATCGCTGAGCCGAGTTATTTCAGCCCATGAAAAATGATAGAAATCACATTTCCAACAAAGGAGATTACCTTGAGGGGGATTAAATTCCACAGGACACTCTTGTTCTAGACATACATTTAGAAAGTACATATTAATAGATCTTCCAATTCTTCTAGTTGCAAAGTACTTATCAGTTACATTATATAAATACAACATAGATTTTGCATTCAGATTTGGTATCTTTTACCCCAATTCTTTCTCTCGAAAAAAAAAAATTCCTCAAGTTGGTAGTAGGCTCCAGAATCGAATAAGAATGCATAGTGCTTACTAATGAAAAATAAACACAAGTGGATACAAACAAGTTACATCAACCAAATTATCGATTATGTACCAGACTACATTGATCATGTGAATTTCTACATGCAATTGTGAACTCAATACCTTTAAGACTGAAATGAAATTCGAATTTCTTGTTGAGGAATTTTGATGGAACATAGATAGCAGAATTATTGCTTCTTTTCTTTCTTTGCACAAGGACTTGCATATATCCTTGACCTGGACAATCCAAAAATCATATAATTGCACTCACTACTGATGTACTATGCAGTAATACTAGTTATGGAATTCTATAAATTCTTGAGGAAGGTATTACCTGAGCATGCTAACTTGTTGCATGAAATCTTTGATTTCAAGGCCGGACAGTTTGATGGTTAACTAGCTTTCAGGCACCTCTTTTTAAATCACTTCCTATAATTTGTTCATTTAAATCAGGCTGTAACGAGACTAGAGAAAGAAAATAGTGTCACTCTAAATGAGTTATAAGGCATATCTGGTAGAACCTCATCAAAAGGCTTAATGTCTCAGGGAAGGGCTACATGCATTCATTTAAATCTTGCTTTGAACGCGCCCCTGCTCTTCGTATGCAGGTAAGCTCCATTTTTTTCCATGTGCGCAGCTTCAATTAACACTTGAACCAATTTATCTAAAAGTTTAAGTTAACCTGCATATTCATTTAAATATTTTCTTCAACAAAAATAGCAATTAGGGCCAAGCTCAAAATTTCTCCTATAGCCTGAGAGATGACGCGCGTAACATACAGAATCAAAACATAAGTTATGTGCTTGGGCATTAGAATTTTTAGGAAGTGAATAACATACCATTGAGAGGACAAATAGGAGAAAATAAGACCAAATTCAGGGGAGGGTCGAACATAAATAATCTTGAAGCGTGTAACTCGGAGATAATTAATAACTGTATACCTTCCCAATTGGCACTGCTGATTCACTTTTTCCGACGGAGATGTTTATGGCACGAGCCAAGACTGCGTGCCGCCGGGGCCGATGAATTAATACCTCCGAGAACCGATGTGGGCTTGACGTTTTCACCGTAGATGTACTGAATATGCAGTGTCTGTGGCGGGAGCGGTCAAGCAAAGTAACACCGCATTATCGACTTCTCCGGCGACTTACGTCGAACAGTAACCGCGTATGGAGACGACAAACTGGACTTGTTAGGTGTTATTTTCTTAAACTTCAAAAATTAAACATTTCGCATTTTTTTTCTTTAAATAAAATTCAAAATCCAACCCAAGGGAAATATCCATAAGTGAGGATTAAGTATCACCCATTTCAAAATTAAGAATAAAAATTTTAAATTCTAAAAATCAAGTTTTATTAAAATTTATTCATAATTTAATTAATTAAATATATTGAGGTCACGTATCTATACAATTTGATCACAAATTAACCATTTAATTAGTTACATTATTTTTCGATCACAAATCAAAATTTTTATGTGTCAAATTATTTATGGTCACAATTTAAAAAATTTATATGTCACATTTTGTTTATCGATCACAAATTAAAAATTTAAAAGTCACAATTTATTTATCGATCACAAATCACAAATATTATAGGTCAAAACTTATTATACAGTCACAAATTATCAAATTACGATAAAAAATTAATATTTTTTAGGTCACATATTATTTTTTGGTCACAATTTATCTTTTTTATTGGTCACATATTGTTTATTGGTCATAGGTTAACCAATTTAATAGTCACAATCAACCAAATAATCAGTGACCACCACCGACGCTTGTGACAATCACCTCGCCATTACCTCCAACAGTACCACCACCATCATCGCCGCCTAATAGCAACATCATCATCTCAAACAAATCAACACCACAACATCCCACTACCACGTCAACACCTCCAATAAACTACCACTTTCAACTTCAAAACCACCACAGCCAACAAGAAGATCTGTCGTCGCCAACAAAACCACAGCCACCACCAAATCTATCATAATCGACCACGGCACAAAAATAACCACCACCGCCAATCCCGACCACAGCACAAAAATAAACACGACCACCACTACCGCACGCACACACACCCAACCACCGCACCACCATCGCACCCACAGCACCACAACCGCACCTACAACAACATAGCCCCACACACCACCACAGTCGCGCACCACTGCCGCACCCATAAAGCTCTCAGTTCCCACCTCCGCACTACCATATCCACCACCATCGCACCACTCAAAATTGAAAAAAAAGGTCTTGAAAAGGACAGAGATGCTACTGCGAACAGTAGCGTCAACGGACTGCAGCATTGTGACCCTGCAGTTTCGGTCGGCGATCACAAGGAGCGCCACTCGCTGCTCCTGCGACGAGCTCCGATGTGCGAGGAAAAGGAAAGAGAAAGAGACAAGAGGGAGAGGGAGAGTGAGATTGAAGACGAGAGAGAGAGATGAGGGGAAGAAGCATCGACGGTCGTAGCAGCGGCGGCGACGGTTTGAGTAGAGAGATGGGAGAGGAGATGAGAGAATGGAGATGAGATGGGAGAAAAATTGATTTTGGGATTTGGATGGAAGTGGATAGTGTAGAGGTGTGTATATAAATTAATTCATATTGTTATTAATATTAAAATATTA